CCAACCAAAAAAAAGTCCAGGACCAGATGGTTTCAGTGCAGAATTCTACCAGATCTTCAAAGAAGAGTTAATACCAATACTCTCTAAATTGTTCCACACAATAGAAACAGAAGGAATATTACCAAACTCCTTCTACGAGGCTACAATTACCCTAATTCCTAAACCAAACAAGGATACAACAAAGAAAGAGAACTACAGACCGATATCCCTCATGAACAATGATGCAAAAATACTCAATAAAATACTGGCAAACAGACTCCAAGAACACATCAAAACAATTATCCACCATGATCAAGTAGGCTTCATTCCAGGGATGCAAGAGTGGTTCAACATACAAAAGTCTGTCAATGTAATACACCATATAAACAAACTCAAAGAAAAAAACCACATGATCATCTCATTAGATGCAGAAAAGGCATTTGACAAAATCCAACACCCCTTCATGATAAAGGTCTTGGAGTGATCAGGAATACAGGGAACATACCTAAACATAATAAAGGCAATTTACAGCAAGCCAACAGTCAACATCAAATTAAATGGAGAGAAACTCAAAGCAATTCCACTAAAATCAGGAACGAGACAAGGCTGTCCTCACTCCCCATACTTATTCAATATAGTACTTGAAGTTCTAGCCAGAGCAATAAGACAACATAAGGAGATTAAGTGGATACAAATTGGAAAGGAAGAAGTCAAGCTTTCCCTATTTGCAGGTGACATCAAAGTATACTTGAGTGACCCCAAAGATTCCACCAAGGAACTGATACAGCTTATAAACATCTTCAGCAACATAGCAGGATACAAGATCAACTCAAAAAAATCAGTAGCCCTCCTATATACGATGGACAAAGAAGCTGAGAAGGAAATCAGAGATACATCACCCTTTACAATAGCCACAAATGACAAAAAATACCTTGGGGTAACACTAACCAAGCAAGTGAAGGACCTATATGACAAGAACTTTAAGTCCCTGAAAAAAGAAATTGAAGATGTCAGAAAATGAAAAGATCTCCCATGCTCATGGATAGGCAGGATTAACATAGTAAAAATGGCAATCTTACCAAAAGCAATCTACAGATTCAATGCAATCCCCATCAAAATACCAACACAATTCTTCACAGACCTGGAAAGAATAATACTCAACTTCATATGGAAAAACAAAAAACCCAGGATAGCCAAAAGAATCCTGAACAATAATACAACCTCTGGAGGCGTCATGATCCCTGACTTCAAGTTCTACTATAGAGCTACAGTAATAAAAACAGCTTGGTACTGGCATAAAAATCGACATGTGGAATCAAATTGAAGACCCTGACATCAATCCCCACACCTATGAACATATAATTTTTGACAAAGAAGCCAAAAGTGCACAATGGAAAAAAGAAAGCATCTTCAACAAATGGTGCTGGCATAACTGGATATCAACATGTAGAAGGCTGCAAATAGATCTATATCTATCACCGTGCACAAAACTTAAGTCCAAGTGGATCAAGGACCTCAATATAAATCCAGCTACTCTGAACCTGCTAGAAGAGAAAGTAGGAAGTAGTCTTGAACGCATGCACATAGGAGATCACTTCCTAAATAGAACACCAGTAGCACAGACACTGAGAAAAACAATCAATCAATGGGACCTGTTGAAACTGAGAAGCTTTTGTAGAGCAAAGGATATGGTCAGCAAGGCAAAGCGACAGCCTACAGAATGGGGAAAGTTCTTCACCAACCCCACATCTGACAGAGGACTGATATCCAGAATATATAAGGAACTCAAGAAATTAGACATCAAAATGCCCAACAGTCCAATTAAGAAATGGGCTATAGAACTAAACAGAGAATTCTCAACAGAGGAAACTCAAATGGCTGAAAGACATTTAAGGAATTGCTCAACATCCCTAATCATCAGGGAAATGCAAATCAAAACAACTCTGAGATACCACCTTAGGCCTATCAGAATGGCTAAGATCAAAAACACTGAAGACACCTTATGCTGGAGATGATGTGGAGCTAGGGGAACTCTCCTCCACTGCTGGTGGGAATGCAAGCTTGTACAATCAATATGGCACTTTCTTAGAAAAGTGGGAATCAATCTCCCCCAAGATCCAGCTATACCACTCTTGGGTATATACCCAAGGAATGCTCAACCACACCACAAGAGCACTTGTTCAGCTATGTTCATATCAGCATTGTTTGTAATAGCCAGAACATGGAAACAACTAGATGCCCTTCAACTGAAGAATGGATAAACAAAATGTGGTACATATACACAATGGAATACTACTCAGCAGAGAAAAACAATGACATCATGAGGTTTGCAGACAAATTGATGGATCTAGAAAAAATCATCCTGAATGAGGTAACCCAGACTCAGAAAGACAAACATGGTATGTACTCACCCATAGGAGGATACTAGATGTGGAACAAGGATGACTGGACTGCTATTCACATCACCAGGGAGGCTACCTGGAAAACAGGACCCCAAGAAAGACACGGGGATTGCCCAATGACAGAGAAATGAAAGAAATCTACATGAACAGCCTAGACATGAGTGGGGGTAGTAAAGGGCAAGGGTCGAGGGAAAGAGAGCTTGGGGGAGCGGAAGATCCCAGCTGGATCAACAACAGAGAGGGAGAACAAGGAATAGGAGACCACGGTAAATGAAGACCACATGAGAATACGAAGAAGCAAAGTGCTAGAGAGGCCCACAGAAATCCACAAAGATACCCCCACAACAGACTGCTGGCAATGGTTGAGAGACAGACCGTACTGACCTACTCTGGTGATGGGATGGCCAAACACCCTTAGTGTCATGCTAGAAACCCCATCCAACTACTGAGGGACCTGGATGCAGAGATCCATGGCTAGGCCCCAGGTGGATCTCTGGGAGTCCAATTAGCGAGAATGAGGAGGGTTTATATGAGCAAGAATTGTTGAGACCAAGGTTGGATAAAGCACAGGGACAAATAGCCAAACAAATGGAAACACATGAACTATGAACCAATGGCTGAGGGGTCACCAACTAGATCAGGCCCTCTGAATGGGTGAGACAATTGATTGGCTTGATCTGTTTGGGAGGCATCCAGGCAGTGGGACCGGGTCCTGTGCTCATTGCATGAGTTGGCTGTTTGAAACCTGGGGCCTATGCAGGATCGCTTGGCTCGGCCTGGGTGGAGGGGACTGGACCTCCCTGGACTGAGTCTACCAGGTTGATCTCAGTCCACAGGGGAGGCTTAGCCCTGGAGGAGGTGGGAATGGGGGGTGGGCTGGGGGGAAGGTAAGGGGGGCAGGAGGGTGGAGAACAAGGGAATTAGTGGCTGATATGTAGCACTGAATTGTATTGCAAAATAAAAATAAAAAAATTTAAAAACATATATAAATATTGTCTTTGTATATCAGGGTAATTGCCTTCTCCAAGAAGCTGATCCTTGGAAATATCTACACTTCTAGTCCTATGTTGTTCTATTGTTTTAGCTTCCTCTTTAAACTAAGTTGTCCATTGAAATTGTGTTCCAGCCTCTAGGACAGCTGTAATTAATTCTTTCCAGTCATGGAGGATAATTCTACACAAGTTTAACATTTGCTTTACAAATGAAGAATGAATGCCATATGATACTATATTTTGTTTAAATCCCCTTAAAACTAACATTTCCACTGGAATCCAATTAGCTTGTACATGCCCTTGAGCAGGTATTTCCTGTAAGGTTACCAGATAGATTAATTTTGTTTGTTTGAAAACAGGCTGTCTCTCTGTAACTGTATAATTCAATCCTGAAATAATTTCACCTTTAAATTCTTCTGTCTGGGTCTGAATTTCTCTATAATTCATTTTAATAAGTTTTTCTAAAGTCAACACCGAGTTATGATTCATTTTAACAGGTTTTTCTAAATTTTTTATCTTGTTGCTTAAATTGACTAGCCTTTTTAATGCTAAAATGAAAATAATCAAACAAATAATATTCATAATTGATATTACGTGCATCCCATCAATATTAATTATCCTCTCATTTAATTCATTTTCAGACTGCCTTATGTGTTGTCAGAAACAAAATTCCTTCCATAGTAAAGATGTTTCCCATTTTTTAATGTGGGAAAAAATTCTTTTTTAACTAATTTCACTCTTTAAGATATCTTAATTGACTTACCAAGCCTGTCAGTTGCATAGAACAGTAGAAGTCCAAGAAATTTTCAAAGCAGCTACCTAGTGTGGTGGCAGTCCAAGATGGGTATCCAGAGAGAGAGACCCCACCACCCACCAGGAGAAAGAAAGCCAAAGAGACTCTAGCCATGTGCTCTGGCCTGACCTTTCCAACCAGGCCTGAGCTGGGGGCCCTGTAAGCCCATAAGCATTTTTCAAATGAATTCTTGCCAAGTTCATTGGCTGCCACTTGTAGACGAATTTCTAAGTGGTCTTAATAAATAAAAAACACAGAGCCAGAAATTTTAGTTAAAGCCCGACAGAAAGATCAGAGGTATAGGAAGAACCACAAGCTAACCTCATCTCACCAACTCTGCAGCTTCCAAGGAGAGTTTCTTTCTGTATATTCACGTTTATATGTCTTTTCTGTTCTGTTCTCTCATTGGCTCTCTTATTCCAGCTACATCACTTCCTCTTCCTACACAGGTCTGTCACTTTTTGTCTGTCTGTACAGACCTCAAGACCTCTATGTTTGGTACTGGGATTATAGCTAAGATAATGTTCACCATTTTCTTTTGGTAGGTTTCAGAGTTATCATCAGTACCATCAACATTAGTCATTAGGGCTGGAGGTTCTAATTAGGAAACTTGTCATTTTCTCTGTGTTTAATGTATTATCTAGGCATCATCTTCAGCAAGAGGACCTTCTTCTTAGTTTTTGGAAAGGAAAAAATAGCCTAGGTGACTATATTGTTTGATGGAGTTAACACTGAAGGTTTCATTTGGTGACAAGAGATGGCTAAATGTGGAATCTCTCCATTTTCTAGTCTCTAACTAATAAATTTCCCTCAAAACTTTTTATTTCACAACAGATATGGACCAGTGTTTGAAGTGTGGAGATAATCAATATGCCAATATGCAAAGAATTCACTGCATTCAAAAAGGTGTGACCTTCCTATCCTATGAAGATGCTTTGGGGATGATTTTAACCTCCTTATCCTTGTTCTTCTCTGGACTGACAGTTTCTATTCTTGGGATCTTTGTAAAACACCGAACCACTCCAATTGTCAAAGCTAATAATAGAACGCTTAGCTATATTCTGCTCATCTCCCTCACCCTCTGTTTTCTCTCTTCTTTGATCTTCATTGGTCATCCCAACACAGCCACTTGCATTCTACAGCAGACAGTATTTGCAGCTGTGTTCACTGTGGCTCTTTCCACTGTCTTAGCCAAAACTGTTACTGTGGTTCTGGCATTCAACATTACTTCTCCAGGAAGAAGGATGAGATGGTTGTTGATATCAAGAGTACCTAACTTCATAGTTCCCTTCTGCACTCTGATCCAACTTATTCCCCTTGGCATATGGCTGGGGACATCACCTCCTTTTGTTGACGTAGATACACATTCAGAATATGATCACATCATCATTGTGTGCAACAAGGGTTCAGTCACTGCCTTTTACTGTGTCCTTGGATACCTGGGCTGCCTGGCAGTGGGGAGCTTCACCCTGGCTTTTCTGGTGAGAAACCTGCCTGATACTTTTAATGAAGCCAAGTTCCTGACCTTTAGCATGCTGGTTTTTTGTAGTGTCTGGGTCACCTTCCTTCCTGTCTACCAAAGCACCAAGGGCAAGGCTGTGGTGGCCACAGAGGTATTTTCTATCTTGGCTTCTAGTGCTGGGCTACTAGGATGCATTTTTCTCCCAAAGTGCTATAGTATTTTGTTAAGGCCAGAAAGAAGTTATAGTTATCATTGTAGGAATAAGAAACATTTTGAAACTAAAATGTCTTCTGAAAATTAAACTTGTTTGTTTCCTAAATTGAGGATCTTGGAACAGTTACAATACACTTCAATCATCACACTGTACTCTTGGTTTTGCTATTATGGACATATGGCTCTGGGATTATTATAACATTTGAAGCAGTACAAACCATAGCCATCAGCCCTTCACTTCTTACTAGCCCCCCCACTTCATTTTTAGAAATATATGATTCTTCCTTTAAATATGAACCTTCTTCTTGTCACCTTGAAATGTACAACAGGCATTTTGTTTATCCAGTCTAGATATTTAGTTTCCTGACACTATTTTATCCAAACCAAACTTTGAATATCTGCCGTCCATTATCTCATATTGTGTTTTGGAAAATAACTATTGTTACATTGTATTTTGTATACACTAGTGTATTAAATTTTGCATGTATTTGTGTGTTTTCTAATTTTCATTAAATGTACACATGTACTCCTTTCATCTACTAACTGTAACCCTATGATTTAACAGCAGTTATTGGATCATCTTTAAATTTTTCAACAGTTTCAAACTCTAACTCTCTCTGAGTCTTCACCTGTTAATCACTGACTTAATTTGCTATATTGATTTTTTAGAGATTATTCATTTGTGCCTATTTTATCTTCTACCATTTGCTGTTTGAAAAAATATCAAACTCAGCCAATCATAGCAGCAAACCCTCAGCCAATCCAAAGAAAACTGTATAAACAGTGTGTCCAAATAAAAAAAATGCACAGCTTTTATCGAGCTACCCATATCTGCAGCTTAAGTATTTTCTGTACTCAGAAGATTTCCTGTGTGCTCACTTCCCCTCCACCCCCCCGCAAAAGATCACTCTTTGTTTTGGTAGAAATGGTCTTCAAAATTAATCACCTTAGAATAAGAAGCTGGACTTTACTTTCAGTGATTCACCTCTTTCTAAACCTTTATAATAGGCATCTTTCCCCCATGATCCTACCTATACCTTTGCATTTTCACTTTTAAAAATAATGCCTACATAATTGTTAAAATTTGTCAATAAACATACTATACTTTATTCTTTGTTTAAAATGTGTCAACACAACTTGGCTGTCCCTCACACTTTCACTACATAGTAATGTAGGAGAATGTCTTTGAGAATCATTTCATAGTAGCAGAATGCTTGAGAAAAATGCATGCTGCAGTTACATAGTAGTATTTCAGTTCCTTTCTCTAGAAGGTAGTTTTTGCAAATTAAGGTAATAAATTTCTAGAAGACTGATCTATTCAAACATGTAGACAACAGGCATTAAGCTGGTTGGGAAGATAAGCTGATGAAATTTGCAGGCAAAGTAGTGTTTTATTCTTATACAGCCAGAAGTAATGTCTTTTCTCTGAGAAGGGAAACCTGACTGCTTTAGCCCATGGTGATATTAGGCAGGGTTTTCTGAAACAACAGAGAACAGAGAATATTTGTATATTTCAAAAAATATTGACTGATTATGTTTGTCTAGGCAAAAGTGGCTGTGTAGTCTTTGTCAATATTCATGGTCAAGAGTCTGAGGACCTACACCTACTTAAACCACCCCATCTTCACTCATCCTGATCAATATCCTTCAATCATTAATCATATGATATTTATTGTTGTAGTTAATCTATACTGTTAAGTTGATAGGATCTAGAATCTAGTAGGAAAAAATCTGAATGTGTCTTGAGGGTGTTTCCAGAAATGACTCCTCTGAGTTTGTAGTATGTTCCTACAGGTGAAGCAAATATGAAGACGTGTGAGGAAAAATGAATGCTAGCTTCCAACATTTCTGCACTTGATTTTTGGTTAGTATGTGTCTCAATACCTATTGCTGTTGCTCGTTCAATCATTAACTGGCATTAGAATTTTAAGTTCTTTAGTCATTCTCTAAGAGTGAATATCATGAACTTCGAGGACTCTCCAGGTTTAGTGCCAGATAAAGATTTCTCACACCACTAGTTTTGTGTTCTAATTGGATATAGGCCCTCAGACTTTTGACCATGATCATTGCCAAAGACTACACAGCCACTTTTCTCTAAGCAAACCTAATCACTCAATTTTTTGTCATATATGTACATTCTCTGTTTTCTTTTGTTCTAGAAAACCCTGCATAATATCACCATGGGTTAATACTGCCAGGTGTCCCTCTCAAAGAATGGTCATTTCTTCTTGCTGTATAGGAATGAAACACTAATTTGCTAGAAAATTTCATGATACTATATTTTTAACAGCTGGGTAATACTCCTTTGTGTAAGTGTACCACATTTTATCTATCAATTCTCAGTTGAGACACATCTAGGTTGTTTTCAGTTTCTGGTTATTTCTAATAAAGCTGCTAATAACATAGTAGAACAAGTGTCTTTGTGGGAAGATGAAGTGTTTTTTGGGTACATTAGCAAGAGTTATATAGCTGGTTCTTGAGATATATTGATTCCCAGTTTTCTGAGGTGTCTCCATACTGATTTCCATAGTGGCTATACAGGTTTGCACTCCCAACAATAACAGAGGAGTGTTCCCCTTGCTCCACATCATCACCAGCAGCATGAGCTTTTTTTTTTCACTTTTGCTTTTAAGCTTAGCCATTTTGACAGACGTAACAAGGAATCTCAGAGTCATGAAATTTACATGCTAATGGATGAACCAGAAAAAAAAATCATCCTGAGTGAGGTAATCCAGACACAAAAAGACAAAAATGCTATATACTCACCTTTAAATTACTTTTAACTATAAAATAAAGGTAATCATGAGACAGTGAACAGACCCAGAGTAACAAGGGGAGATGCATGAATCACCCTGTGAAGGTGATATCAAATAGAATCCATGGTTAGACTGGGATCATATGGGGATGGGAATAGGATTGACTAGATAAGGGGATTTGACTGGGAGAGGTGACTGAAATTGGGATACATTTCAGAGGTGAGATAGAAACCTAGATCAAAGGAAACCCCTAGGAATGCATGAGGATGACCCTAGCAAAGACTCTGAGTAATGGGTATATGGAACCTGAACTGGCCAACTTCTGTAAAGGGGCGTGGCTTCTAGTGGTAGTATTGGGATGTCAACACAGCTACAAATCCTTTGATCTATCATTAGTTCTACCTGCAATATGTACTAAGATTAAGGTGGTACAGAACTTGTGGGAGCAGCTAAACAATGACTAGTCTGAGTTGAGACCCAAGCCAAGAGAGGGAGATCATGTCAGACACTGCCAGGAGTGCAGGAACCAAAGTCTGAGTAGACCAAAGACCAAGGATAGAACTAAACACTGTTGGAAAAAGTCAATAAAATGATTCCTAATGATACTCTATTATACGCATAGATGAGAGCCTAGCATAGTTGTTAGCAGAGAAGCTTCATCCAGTAACTGATAAGAACAGAAATAGACACACCACAGTCAATTATTAGTCATATCCCTGAGAATCCTAAAGAAGAGATCAAAGAAAGGTTATAGGAGGAGGAGTCAAGACACCACAACAAAATTGCCCACAGAATCAACTAAAGTGGGGTCTTGGGGGCTCACAGAGCCTCAACTGACAATCAGGGTGCCTATATGGATCTGACCTATGTCAACTGCATATATGCTATAGTTATGTTGGTCTTGTGGGACTCTTAACAGTGGGAATAGGGTTGTCTTTGATTTTTTTTGCCTGCATTTGGGACCATTTTCCTCCTACTGGGTTGCCTTATCCACTCTGAGTATGAGGGGTGTGCCTAGTTTTATTATAACTTGACATACCATAATTGGTTAATATACCTGAGGGACTGTCCTTTTTTGAAGGGAAGGGAGGAGGAATGGTTCTGGGGCAGAGGGGATATGGAGGTACTAGGAGAAGAAGAGGGAGGGAGAAACGTGGTCATGATATAATATACGAGAGAAGAATTTTAAAAAAAGCCCTATTAGCATCTGTTTTTCCAGCTTCTTTATCGTTGGCTTCTCCATAGGACAAGAAACTCTAACCTAAATGTGTAATTGGACATTTCCTGTCCCTACCACCCAGTCCCAAATGACTGATTCACAGGCTTAATATACATAATAAACACTCAGATGATAGCTCAGGCTTTTTGCTAGCTAAATTTCTTTATTCCAAAGTATAAATCTTATGCTTAAATTAAACTATATTTCTATCTATGCTTTGCCACATGACTCATTGCTTGTTACCTCATTTTTTACATGCCCTGCTTGATTGGCACATGGCTTGCATCTCTCTAGACTCCCCTGACTCTGCCCTCCTTTATCCCATCATTCTCACTTTGGTTTTCCTGCCTAACTTTCTGCCCAGCTACTGGTCTGTCAGGTTTTTAATAACCAATGAGAGGAATATATAGTCATAGTGTAGAAAAGGATTGTTCCACAGTAGTACAGTAGAGCCCAACTCAAGCATTTGTATTTGCCCTATTGTGACTCTGCAGAAAATGGAAGAAACTCAGAGTAAGTCAAATCCTCAGTAAATGTGTATAGTTGACATAGGCACAGTCATACTGAGTACCTCATAACTTCAGACTCAGGGGGTTGGTTAAGACTTCCTCAGGGTGCTGAAAATGAGTGTTGCCAATATATGCAAAAAAATGTCTAACATAGCTTACTCCCACTGGGTATTTATGGCATGCAGTCTACTTCTCTACAGAGACTGCTTCTACTGAGTTTATGTAAATTGGTCTATTTGATCCAGCTGTATACTATAAACTCTGCCTCTTTGATTATCTGTATATAGTAACCCTGTCCCCTTGCTCAGCTATATGCCATAACACTTCCACTGTGTTGCACTGTATATAATAAACAAGTTGAGGTTCATGGGGGCTGCAGTTTCTCCAGCTGTTAGTTGAAATTACTTGAACACAGCTTTCTATCCATGTGTCCATCTTCATTTTGTACTTTCTTCATTCTCTTGCCACTCCAATCAGGTGTGTCCCTGAAGGTGTACTTGACTTTGTAGACAAAATTCTAAACAGTCTTATTAAATAAGAAACACAGAGCCAGACACAGAGTTAAAAGCCCAAGAGACCAGAGCACTAGCAAAGAGCAAAGACA